AAAACAACTCAGAATTCTGACCCATTCTGACACTTGAATACACTGTATTCTTCAATCTAATACTTTGTTCCTTTAAACGTTCATACTTCTAGCATGCTTAGCGGTAATTTTAGCATCAGGTGTAGAGGGCAAATCTAGGCGGATTGGAACAGTTAAAGGTACAAAAGCCCGAAGGCATGGCTTGTGTAGTGCAGACAGCCGCAGTCAGTCGCAGACAGCTGAAGGTGTGGAAACCGTGCCAAAGAGTGCATCCTATCCTGGTGGGACCGAACCGGCAGGATCGCAATTCTCTGGCAAGGCTTCAAGAAGCACACCTACCTTCTTTTTTTTTCAGCTTTGATTATGCACGACAGAGCCAGAGAGAATCAGAGAAAAGGTCGACGGCATACAACAAACCAGCCCGCGAAGTGGAGTCTGTGATGTTGCGCAGCGTTGGCCGCAGCAAAACTGTAATACGCCACCTTGATCTCCCCCGAAAGAAAAAATACACGCGACCCGTAGACGCCTGAAATGTGACACACCTCCTTCAAGGGAAACAACAACTGGTAGCAGCACTAATTGAGATTGTGCACGCAAAGTGACAATACCGGGGTGCTGTGCAGCATGGATTAGCTCCTGAATAGAGACAGATTCTTTGTGAAAAGCCCACTGTGGCAGTTGGCATGCGCGCCAGTCCGCCGCATCTGCTCATTGGGGCCACTGAGAAAAACACTGGATCGTATATATGCCGCGCTCGCTCATTTTTTACCTTCTTCTAATCCCGTTTCTCGGAGATCCTGCCCCGTCGGGTTTTTGTTCCTCGGACATAAAACAAAATGCTTCCATGTTACACTAACACACACATTCCTTACAAAACAATTCTGGTTCAAAACAATGGAAAACATTTGCATATCAAAGCGTCTTTACCAAGCTCGGTAGGATTAGCTCTCATATTGTGTGTGCTGAAACATCATCGTATCATACGCTGAAGGCAGTACATCAAACGTACTTTGTCCAAAATTGTTCCATTTCATATTTTTTCAAACCGATATTATTGGGCAGTCCTTCTTAAGAGGGTCTGATGTTTTTACAAGTCCACAAATCTCAATGCCAAGGGAACACCACCAGAAAAATTCCGCAGGTTAATGATGTTTTTTCTGCCATCTGGAGAAAGAGCAATTAATTGCTATGCCTGTCACTTTACATTGATAGCATAGGTAGTTATAGAAAAAAGACGCAGTATGTTTGAAGTAAATAAATTATTTCTGGACCAGTGAAGTGAAACGGGATGACACACATTGGGCTGGGAATGTGATGCACACTGAACAAAAGTGACGCAATTGTCTTATTTTAATAAACAGTGCAGCAACACATGTCAACGAAACTACGACAACACTCAGAGGCATATACAGTATTCTTTATCCTTTAAAACGACTTCCATTGCAGTTTCCCGAGTAGTTGTGCTCGTCTCCTTCATGTATTACACTGTGGCGGCGGGGTGGCCGATGGTTAGCACATCCGCAAACCCGGGCAAAAACTTTTTTTTTTTCACCCCCCAATTGTAGTTGTTGACATCAAACTGACAAACAAACTTGGTATTTCGGAAAACAAACCTGGGAAAAGCTGGCTTCGCCTCCCAACTTTATTTCAACGTGAATATTTCAATTCAATCACGCTTTCGGTTCCATTATGATTCCGTGAAAGAAAAACGCACACAAAAAAAAACAAAAAAAAAAACAGGGAGAATGGACCCCGTGGACTGGCTGATCCCAACACCAGCTTGCATACTGGCCTTTCGCAGAGTGCTGCCGCATCATGGCAACACCTACCCAACCAGAAAATGTCTGCAGCACCGCAACGGATGTCAGAGGCCAATTGGAAAACACAAGCGGTTCCACCTAGAGAATTCCCAACCCCACTTTTAACTGCACGTGCTGCTGCGGTTTTATGGCCGCGTATAAATCTGAATTCTAACTCAACATAATTCGATGAGCCTTGTCGTTAGTATGGCTGTCGACTAAACGCCGATGATGATGATGAACGGGCCTGAAACCGGAGCGGGATAAATCCTCGGTGTGTTTTCCTGGACATGTTTGACAAAGCTCTCCTTATTTGCCTGTTCCACCTCCATTAATCTTCAAACACGCCCGCTCCTTTCCTGCTGGGTTAACCAATAATTCGATGCGGCTTCTCACACAAGCACTAATCAACAATTTAGTGCTGTACCTCAATCCCCCAGGATGAATGAAACGCCTCTGTAAGGAAAGACTCGAATGTACGCCATCTGTAGCTGTCCCACATTGCTACTTATAAGGGCGGCGGCACAATGTGGTCTCGGTGACGTGAAATAAATCAAAGCCACTACATCGTATTTCTGACTGCGACAGAGTGATGACGGCAACTTCCTAAAATGGCACCGGCACAGTAAAGCGCACAAACGTCTTACAGTAAGTGTTCTTATTTGAATGGTTTCCTTTAAGTGAATTAATTCAACTCCGGTCGTCATCATGACCTTCCTATAACTGTACGAAAAAAGTTTTAAGTGACATTTTGACCATGGATAGTATAGAAAAAGTGTGAGTACAATTCTTGGATTATGTTTTTATTGTTTCTTTAGCATATCCAAAATGTTGATGTTTAAGCATGAAAGAGTTTTGGACCAAGGCCAGCAGCGGATTTTTTTTTCCCCCCCATTTTACATTTTCAAAAAGTGGGTCACTTTGACCCACCTCATAACAGGAATGCCAAATGTTCCAAATGTGAAAGAACTACTATTGGCTAAGCTTGTACACAGCAATATTCAAAAGTATCCAAAAAGAGGTCAACAATAGTAATGTTCTAACAATCCACTGGAGGCTTCACTTCCCGTTGCATGCCGGGATTTTTTTTTCCTTTCTCTTTTCGGATTAGAGCTCCAGTGACCTCTTTTTCAACCCTTCAATTCTCATACGTAAGTCATAGTTTGCCACTTCATTGGACCGTCGGTGAGGGTGATCTATTGAATGGAAAAAAAAAAAAATGGGGCCCTGAGCGGAAGGAATCTTCACTTGGGTGGGGCATCATTCGCTATAGGTCTACCAAATCGAATTGGACGTCGAGCATTAAAAAGCCAAAACCACGTCGCCAAAAAAAAAAAAAAAAACGGCACCGAAGCACTTGTTATCTTAGTCCCTGTTCTCTTGCAGTACGGCACGGTTAATGCATGCATCCATGTAAAAAGCCATTTTTGCTCAACTCTGTTAGTACGGGGTTGCGTTTGTGGCGACTGCAACATATATTTTGCAAAATGTTCGGACACAGACGCTGTTACTTTTGCAAAAATTATGCGGGGTTGGCCATTTAACACTGGTGTACATGCGATTGTATGAAAGCCAGCTTGAAAATGACAAAGTGAAATACAGACCGACTGCAATGTCATCTCTTTTGTATTCAAAAAGGATTTAAAAATCTGAATAAACAAAAATAAAAAACAACTGTGTCACAGTGAAAGATTTTACAGTATTAGTGGGTTATTTTTCTATTTTGTCATCGTGTCACCTTCTGGGTTTATTTTCATCAACTATTTTATCATAATGTTCAACCGATGTGACTCCATATCATCTCATATGTAATGTAAATGGAGTTGTACGCTAAAAAAACTGACCAGAAGTATATTCAGATTCCCAAATGTTACTAAATTCTGTTAGTCTGGGGGTCCAAATAACGGCACATATTTTGTGACACACATACCGCTTACATTTGAAACAAATATTTGTGGGTGATTTAACTTCAGCGTACTTGCATATAAAACTTGTATTTAAATTACAAAGGTCCGGAAAGCAAATGCATAAAAATATATTTTAACTAAGTAAAAGCAGAAAAGCAGCTTATCAACAAATTTGCACCATGATGGGAGATTTTACGGGAAAAAAATGTGTTTGCGCCTTGTTTTTCCCCATCTATTTATTGTTTTTTCATGTTTTTCCGGACTTTAATTTACCTCTTTTTTTTTAATCAGAGCTTCCCATTGTGATGCATCAGTTAACCTAAATGTTTCCTCACACTGACTCAAAATTAAGGCTGTGACACTTGACATACAATGTAATTTTTTCTGTGTCATAAAATTGACCAGAAACACATTAAAATGTACAACTAATACGGTGTCGTTTCATCCTATATTTACAGTTACACTCTTCAATTGAAGCACAATTCTAGAATTTGTGACATACTGGCATTTTGGGGGGGGGGGGGTGAATGACACACACAAACTCATTCTCTTCTTTTCTTGTGCATTATGAATTCCAGTTAAAATAAAATAAAATGTGTTTTGCCTGATTACTCATGCTTCGATCAGAGTAAGTAGTACATTATAACAAATCTTCCCAGCCGGCATATTTAAATTTATGAGTGCAACTGTATATCGTAGTTATCTTAAATTTTTATGACGTGACACTTTCCAACCTCTGTAGCTCCCTATATCATATCAGCAGTGTCAACGGAATTGTGCATCCAAGTGTTACCAGAGAAGCACTTAAATGTACATGCATTTAATGATTTTTCATGCAAATGTCATCATAAAAATCCAATGTTGAAACAAGAGAACTTGCAAAACTACTATCCGTGCACATTAAAAGAAGAGGCAATTTTGCATTAGTTTTTGAGCATGTGTGAGTGTGCTTGAGTTCGCACGTTCTATACTTTCAAGTAAGACGACACAAAAAGTCGAGCTGTTTCTTTAAAAGTGAAGGATGCTTGTTCAGGGATGTTTATGTCACTCCATCATCATTATAGTCACTGTACCCCCATCGCCATCATCATCATCCTCATCCCCATCCCCATCTACAGACGCACTCCGCTGCATAACAGTGCCAAACAAACGCCACATTCGTCCACAAAAAGAGGGAGGAAATAAAACGAATGCGTTGCGTGTCATTTTTATTCCACCTCTTTTTATTAAGAATGCGGTCACCGGAGACCGTCGGCAACGTCAAAAGCCGGTACGAGGATGCGTGCGATTCTTTAAAACCCACACGTTAGCTTACCTTCAACAGCTATTACGACCGGCAAAGTCCAGAATATCCATAGAATATCCATGGTCGCGGTCACTCAAAAACGGCCCCGGGCATTCAAATAAAATAGGTCCAGAAAGCCATTGACTGCCCGACGCGTAGAGGGCACAGGCGGTCCTTCACCTCCAGCAGAGCGCGCTCGGATAGCAAAACACAAGCGACTCAAATCTGGACCAAATTTGGGCGAGACCAAACACACGCAGACACCGGGGGTGGTCATTGTGACTAATCATCACAAATGAGTCACGCTGTGTCTCTAGACCGTGTCTCGCGTGAAATAATGGTTATTTATTTAATATTTGTGATAATTGAGGACGATATTAAAATAAATATTTCAATTTTTCATGACCCGATTGGTCACCGGAACATTGGACTCCCCTTTTGAGCGAAGTTGTTTTCACCCAGCTGTCAATCAACAGGAGAAGGACCGTCCTTCTCCTCACCGCTTTTTACCTTTCTACTAGTTTTGTGATTTGGCACCGTGCAGGAGGCTTTAAAAACTGGAAAAAGTTTATACCTCAACTTGCACGCCACTCCAGATGGAAACACGCAAACCGTGCTGTTGAGTAGGGATTGCTTTATACAATACGGAGTGTTCGTTACGGGAGCTGTGCCGTAACAGGTGCTGCAGCAGCGTGAGTAAACGTTGCCTTTTTTTTTGTTTTTGTTTTGTTTACTACGTCACCAACCTGTTTTTTTTTAGTTTGTTTAAAAAACAGGCAAATGCAATTGTATCGTATTTTTTTATCCATTTTCATTAAATAATCATTAAATGTTGTTTAATTATAATAATGTGACGCTCAAGGATGAACACTTCGAGCGAGGAAAAGCATTTCCGAGTTGTTTGTATGTCGTCTTCAATGACAAACAATGTACGTACATGTTAGACAATTTTAATAAATTAACCAAAGATCAACAAAACGTGATCAAGTTAAACTACTCTCTCTTTTTGATGTAACTCACATGGTAAAGATAATCATACGAGATTTCTCTTTCTTTGTTTTGTTTTTTAACCATCTTTCATGAATTTGGGATTAAGATGGAATGTGAATGCATCACTACTGAGGCCGGAAATGATTTGAAAATATGCATCTTATCTTACACTGGTCAACAAATTTTTACAAAACTTTTTAATCAGAGATGCAAGTAAACTTTTTAAGAAGCAATTTTTTTCACTGATTCCTCACCTGCCCTCGTTTTTTTCTCTTGTACACCATTTTTTTGTAAAAATACTAATTATAAATCAATAATATAATAATCTTATAATTGTAATATAATAATGTACTACATTTATGAATTAAGGGGGAGATTCAGCAACAGGTGGAATTTTTTTCTGATTCGTCAAAGCTATAAAGTACGCTTGGTCAAATTCGTATTGCGCAGGTATTGCTTTTGTAGATCAAAGTTAAAAACAAAAAAAAATGTCAAAAACCTAACGTGCTAGAAAAAAAGTGAAGACATGTTTCAAACTGGCATCAAAAATACATTCAGAGACACATCAAGCCATCTCTGATTAAAATTTGCTGTTGATCAATGGTGTTAATGTGCATGGTTTAAAATTGGTGATTAAAAAACATTTGAATGTTTTGAACAGATCCTCCCATCAAATTGAGCTCCCCATTTGACGGAACAGACTTCATATTGTACTGTACATGAAACCCCAGCAGGAGAGTTTAGCAGTTAGTGAGCGCTCTTGCCATCTTACTCATCATACGAGTGGAACCACTTTGAAATACGTTGCCTCAGTTCGTCATCAATTATTCATCATAAATAATTAAAACTGGGATGTGCTCACCGTTTTTGGATCTACTAAGGCGATATAATGGTTTTTTTTCAACACAGGAAGACATGATTTTTGAAGAATTAATTCTCTGTTTGTTCATTCATTTTATAAAAATTTTAATACGTTACATTCTAAGAGGCAGAGGTTTCCGTAATTCTCGTAAAAATGTTGGAGCAAAAATTGAGTCAAATTTAAAGTGTATCAATTAAAAAATACTGACATTTCACAATAACGCAAAAATAAATCAATTCTGGCAACAACAAAATAAAAACGGTTACATTTGAGAGCAGTGGTAGGGAATCTACGGCTCGCGGTCCATACAAGGCCTGTAAGAGTATCTGCTCTTGCCAGCCATGCAAATAAACAAATAAAACATTAGAAAAAAACAAACAAACAAAAGCCCCCAAAGATTCAACACGTGTTCATATTATATAAAAATGAACTTTTCCTGGAAGCTGTGTAGAAGCACTCTCTGGCTTTCATTGAACCTTACTGATGTCTTGGCCCCATCCGAGTTGGACTCTATTGATTCCAGTTCACTTGACTGTCTTGACACGGGATGGCGTCCAGGTGATTAGGACACAGATGGAGCCAAATGTCGGGGGAGCACAGAGAAAGCAGCATGCCGGAGCTCTAATGACTTCCAGACAAGCCCCGTGTGGAACTCGGCCAAAAGAGAAGTGAAAATGTTGAAGAAATGACATTAATGCTCTTCTCAAGTTGCCCGCAGACATATTGCTTCCGGACTGCGTTCAAATGCAGCGTGTCGGTAAGAAAAGTAGCGGGAAGCAATGCGCGCTTTTGTGCAAAAAGTAAAACACACAAAACATAAATGGGACAAACTTCAATTACACTAGATGAGCAGAGTAAGGGAGACCTGATGCTAAATTCAGCATTGATTTGTCGTAGTTATTACAATCAACTCGTATCATTTTATTCATATCAGCTGCATGGGACAAAATAAACGTGCAATTTAGAAATATTTATTTTCATCACCACACCTAAAGTACTTTTAATAATAACAATAACAATAATAATAACTGCGTGTGAATAAGGATGGTTTTCTTTTGTTTTAAATCCAAATCCCTTTTAAAATCAGAATTTTCCTTTACGAGATTTTTTTTCGAGGGGAGGGGATTTTTTTGTTTTCAAAATGTAGTTTCTTTCACTAATTACATATCAGCCCGAGCACCAACCATGACTGGAATACTAATATTTTACTGTTTTTATGAATTAATTTTAAAAAATAACGTCTTTAATTGTATGGTGGGAAGCAGAAATTGCACTGCAATTTCATAGTACCGTCTAGAGATTATTGATGTTGGGAGGAAATTACTGTTATTAGCACTTCAAATTATTCGATTGAAGAAACATTTGAAACATTATTTTAATAATGATTGTAAGTTTAGTGATTTAAAATGCATACAAAATTATTTGTAACACGTATGTCAGTGTGAAATAGCTAACGTATTTTATTTACAATTAATTAAAAAGTTAATATTAATTTAATGCTTTAATTTGATCATGGTATATTTCGCATCATAGCCGGACAGATACAAAAATAAATAAATAAATAAGCTGGGCGCTGTACACAATTTTTTTTTCTTTGTACCTTAATTTAAAGCAAGGCATGAGAACATTCATTGATTGAAACACTCCAGCTAATTCACTTTGAGACAGGCAAGATAGATGGACTGAATTTATTTTAATGTCGAGCTTCAGGAAAAAAAACATCAAATGGGGTACTGCAAGCTCTACAGCCGAGTGTTGACGTGTGGTTGCATCAACGCTGCCACCTAAGGTTCAAACGTTGAACTGCCCTGCATTGTCTATTGAGAGTGTAACTGTGGCCACCGAACCTCTTATATGCAGTATTATACTGATATATATATATATATATATATATATATATATATAGATCTCTCTCTCTCTCTCTCAGCAATCGCTGAACAGAAAACCAACATTAAGTGCAATAACTCATTTTCTGCTTTTTAATTTTTTTTTTTACCAAAAATTAACTCACTCAAAATTTTAATGTTGTTGGTCCTGCATATTATTTCAAAGGCACAAAAAATGATTAGGCCGATGGATGTGGTGTGCAGGCCACCTGATATATCACGTCAATTCTCCATCAGAAAGCGTATCCATCCATTTTATACCGTGCTCGTCGTCCTTTGGGTTCCTGGTAATCGAAGCTATCCCTGCTGCCTTTTGGCAAGAGAAACGGGGAACACCCTGAAATGGTCGGCAGTCGATCACAGGGTGCAGATATCCGAGCCTGACTAAATTTTGACGGGAGAAGTGAGGTACATGCTTGACTGTTCCTCGGCCAATTGCAGGACCCATGTCGACAAAAAGTCATGCAAGCTTCTGGAAAAGTATGTCAAATGACATTTGGCATGGTCAGGTTCACCAAGGATTGGTCATCAGCCAATCAAATATAGACCAGCAACCATTCACATTGAAACCTATTATAATGTTCAATCAATGATTTTTTTTTTTTTCCAACGGGTGAAGTATGCATACTGAAAACTCTACACTGAAAGGTCTTAGCCGAGATTCACACCCGAACCTCAGAAATGTGAGGGAGACATGCTGACCACTATGATACTGAGCTGACAGCTTTAAATCAGTTTGGAAATTAAAAGAAAATCCCACTTCCATTCCTCGAGGTTAAACAAATGCTTTTGAAAAGAATTTAACGGCGCTTAGGCAGACTTCCTGCGGGTCAGCAGCTTTTCTCATCCTCTGGAATTTAAAGGTATTTACAAGAGCCACTTTGGGCTGGAACTGATTTCCACCTCTTAAAGGCCTTCCGGCAACATCAGGGGCACAAAGTCTCTCTCACTTTAGCTGTGCGATCTCGGTTAGTGCAGGGAAAAACCAAAGGATTAACCTTCAGTAAGATCACATTTTCACAAGAAGGCAGAGCCGAGTGGCGCCGGGTTCAACGAGCAACCCGAGCTAACCGGGATCATCCAAGTGTTTTGACGTGTGGAAAATAACTGATGTTATCTCCTCGGCCAAATGAAAAAGAAGCATTGCACCACAGGGACGCAAAGGCAAGCTGAGCTGTTCTGCTAAGGGAATATATCAACAGAGATGGTTTTGCAACTTGTTTCATAGGCTGGATTTGCACTGCAGGTAAACCGTAATATTTACATAATATGACTACTATTATGTATTACATCGAGTTTAGCCAAAACCGTCCATCACCAAGGCTGAACTTTTTCGCCATAATTCCAACAGATAGGTTTGGTGCTAAAACAACACCGATCATCACCCGAAGAACAAAATGCATATACGAAGCATTGTGGCAAAAGCATCACGCTTTGGGGCTGTTTCTC